TAAGAGCAAATCTACCCAGGAGGGGATAAAAGAACAAAACTATTCTTAAACTTAAGTACAAGGTCAGTTTGTAAAAATTCAGTATATTCTGGGCAACCTGGAAAGAGGTGACAAGGAGACAAAATTTTAGGAATTTATGTGGACCACAATATGGATTAAATTGTACTTTTAAAAGAAAATACTGGTGTATAGCTGCTCAAGAATGGATGGGTTTTAGGCAACTGATGATTAATTATGCTTCCCTAAATTGTATTTCTCTTTATTAAATCTGATATAGCCAGATCTGTTTCCTAATTGTTTTTGTGTCTTTCAGTTTTGCTTTTGTCTTGAATAGCAGCAGGTAATTTCTATGCCATCAACATCTCGTTAAGGTCTATCAGAAATAAAAACCCATGTGCTTTTTTGTTTTTGTATTGTATTACACACTTTTTGTTCCCTAGGCTTTTGGATACATTTTATAACATGGCATTTTCTTTGTTTTGGTCTATTTATTTCCTGGCATTTTTCTTCATCAGGTTATAGCTTTATTTGTTTGTTTTCCTCTTGGCACTTAATCTCTATGTAAATTATTGTTGCATGCTTCACCATCACTGCTATTGCTCTTAATTTTCCCTAACGATGTTCCCATTTGAAAACTGCTGGCTGGTCATGTTGGGCAAGTGTAGAAAGCAACTTTGACTTCATTATGAATTGTTCTTTTCTACTGCACTAGGACTTCTACCAGATCACTTGTGTTTGTGACATACTGTACTGTCCTTGCATAGTTTCTGCCCCATCTGAATCTTGCTGTTGCTGCTCCCAGGATAACTAAGTAGAAGGATGAAGAACCTGAGAAACCTTTCTGTTCCTTCAAGTAACAAATCCAATTTTTCCTAGTCACACTAACATGTGACCAGACGGAGAACCTTCCCCAAGAATGGCTTGTTGGTCATATCCAATCCCCCATATGGCTAACACCTCTATTGCTATAAGCTAGCAGCAAATAGCAAGGTTCAGCTAGCAGCAAAATCAATCACACTCTGGTAAGAAAAACAGGACAATGGGAATCAGTGGAAATTTGGGCCAAATGTAATTTGATGTCCTGGCCGAATGTAATACGTATGTCCTGGATGTAGGAACTCCCTAAGATCATTCTATGGATGTGTAGCATACATAGGTCACTGTCAACATATTTATACTTGCTTAACGTTTTATTATTCCTACTCTTCATTCTCTCCCATTCTACTATTATTTTAATACCTCTGATCATTTGAGACATTTTGGCCCATACAAATACTTACCTGTAAGGAGAAACACAGGCTAGTTTGGAATCCTGGGTAGAAAGGAATATGAGGGCAGAGTGAAAGAGCAGTACTGATATCTTGGGATAACCATGTACACTGTAGAAGCTGTTTTTTAAATAATCCAAGCCAAAGATCTCTCTTGTGCTGCCCAGATACAGTAAAACATACAGAATAAATAAGGGCAATCCTTGTTTCGTTCTTTTATCTATGAAATGACTATGGGTAGAAAAGGAAACCTAAGCTTAGAAGCAAGATCTCTGCAAGGATAGAACAACTTCTATGATGCTTTTTACTGGCCAAGGAGGACAATTAAGTGTAATTGGTTGTAATTAGCATTTTCTCAAGCTGTTCTAGTCTTTACCTACATCTGAGTAGCTCTCAGAATACTGCACAATAGTTTCCTGCTTTTGAAAACAGCACAGACATACCATTTGATCCTTGAACTCCAGAAGACACACTGTTCAGAATAAACGAGGGACAAATCAGAAAAAATAGCAATTGGCTTTTGGAAAATTGCACACACCCCTTTCTGTATTTGACCAATATATTTGAATGAAAGTGCATATTTTGTTGTTTAGAACCTCAAAACAGAAATCAATACAAAAATAAATATTTTCTGTAATTCCTTTCTGCTCAGCTAATCCGTTTGGGCATTTATACATGTGCTCTGGTAGTGCGGTGCTTAAATTCAAGTGGCTCTAAGAGCTGCTCTAATTAAAGAACCCTGAGCATCTCATGTATCAGCATTCCCATTCTTAAAAATGGCAGTAGGGGTGCTTTATCTAAAGCTCATTGAATTAGTGTGTCGGAGCAGCCTCACTGCTCGTGTATAGACACACTTTATGGCCAAAAGAAACTTACTAGTTACTGATTTTTGGAAGCTAATTTTCCCCCCACATTAGAAAGAGATACATATCTTCAAAGCTTATGAAAATACCTGAAAATACATAGTAAGATGTGCTGTGCTTTCTCCCCTTCACTCTCTCTCTCACATGCACACTTTTAATAAAGGCCTGATGCCTACTGAAATATCTAACCATAACAGAGGGAATGTCTACACAAAATGCTAAAGACTAATTCTACTGTGAATTAGCATGGCAGGCAAAAACAGTGCTAATGAGCCAATGCGCAGTAAAATCAGTCTACTGCACACTAGCATCACAAAAAAGCATGTGCTGGAGCTACTGCAGGTACTAACCTAATGCACCATAGTTATGGTGCATTAATGAATGTGTAGAGCACCCAAAGTGTCCCAGCTTTATATACAACATCTAGAAAGATTTGGGTGTCTTCCAAGGGATCCTCAGAAACCAGCTGGCAAGCTGCCCAATCTAACTAGGAGAAAAATGTAATCTGTGATTCCATGAGATATAAGCAACAAAGGCCAAAGTCTTTTGATGCTTAATAGGAATAGTTCTGTTAACTTTATTTGGATTATTCGTGTGCCTAATGTTAAACCAGGCTCAAATGTGTGGGGACACTTGGGCTGGGTACAGATATTCCAAAAGCCCAAAAAGGAATCACTCAAACCTACATGGGTTTCTGTAAGTGGTGTAGGTTAGATTGGGAGTGAACAGAACTGATGTACGCCCTTTTTCAGTGGTAGACATGCAGACTGCCTTCACTGGCCAAGGCCAGTAGGTTGGGGGTGCTCAAGCATGCTTCCTACCATGACCTGTAGCCTCACTGGGTTGCTGGAAATTGCCAAGTTCTGTCAAATGCTCCTCTACCAGCTTCTCCAACAGCAGTCATGCCACTGACAGACATCTTCAGCCCAGTCTGCTTCCTGTCACTGCACCTGCTTGTAGGCCCACAGGGATCCTTGGGTGGGCTTCTGCACACCCACCCAAGGATCCTCATATTCCCCGTAAGCCAGCACGGTGCCAGGAATCTGGGCATGGCTGAGCACCCCTCTCCTCTCCCTCATCAGCATCAGCCACTGTACTGACTTAGTTCTGTGAGAGCCCTGGGGAGGGCAGAGTGCGGCTGGCTGGAAGCTCAACTGGAGCAACTGAGCATGCGGCAACTTCCTGTAAGGTAGGGCTAGTGGGGCCCACAAAGACACCTGGGATGTTGTCAGACAGTGACCTAACTTGATTCACAAGTGGACCTGGTACTGAAGTTCAGGACCAGGCTCACCTAGATCAATTCAGTCTGATACCACATCAATCCAGGTCTATCTTAGACTGGGATCCTCCATTTTTAAACCAATCTATGTGCTCTTAACTTTTATTTTGTTACAGGTATAGATCAGTTTCTGACCACCTAAACTGGAAAAAGTGTAATGCCTGTACCTGGCCTTGGGCTTGGGCTTAATTTGATCTGCTGAAAATAAATTATGGAATAGAAAGGGAAGGCAATGTAGGTTATACATAGATATGTCTTAACAGCTTATCACTCAATTATAGAAAAATAATGACAAGCTATGTCTGATTTTGGTGGGTTATGAAAACAAGCAGATCATATCCCATTTTCAGTCAATTTTAGATTAATGCTTCTAAACCAAAACATGTATAACCTTTACATTTGTTATTTATTGCTTACTATGCTTCATCTAATTTGTATCCACAATCTAAATGAATTGGCCGTTTCCCACCTTGTTTTCAAAAATAATTTATTTTTAGCTGAAGTCTTCCAGATACTAGGAACAAACCATGATGTGTGAAAAATAAATGGGAAAAACAAACAAACAAATAAACAAAATTCTTCTTCATAGAGAGAGTTCCTATTTTTTTCTTAGCTGGATTTCCAATTAATTTAACTCTAATAAAATCAATAATACTGATAGTCTAAAATAAACAAAAATGATCGGTGAAGTTTTTTTTTTAATGGACCAACACCTATTTCACCTTTACATGCCTAAATGCTATACATGAGAACAAATGTAGCCATATAATTGCCTTTATTTTTAGCACTTACCAGTTTTTAGAATCTACTTCCCCCTTCCTAGTTATGCTTTCCCTACACTTCTCTTGTGAACTTACTCAGAATTTTCCACTATGGTCATGCTGTGTGGTAGAATTGCATTTCCCAAGGAAGCTCATAAATCATTTTAATTCCCAAAAGTAGTTGAAGAATACACGTTTGGAGTAGGGTAGATGCGGGGGTCTTGCAACCCTTATCCTGTGGTTAAGGGCACTAGTGCAGGGACTGGGAGAGCTGGGTCATAGGCTCCCTTAGGGTGCCTGAACCTGCATCCTCTCACTTCCCAGCAAAGTGCTTTAACCACCAGGTGGGCTAGGCATGGCCCAGAAAGTTATTCAGCCTTCCTCTTGAAGCTGGCCGACTGTAAAGCCAACAAAGGAAGATATAGAGGACCAGATAAAGGACAATAAGGCAGGGGGAGTTTGGCTCAGTGACATAGAAGGGGAGAGGACCTGGGTTTCTGGCCACTGCAGAAGCTATGTTGTGGTCATTGATCCAATGAATATTACATGTGAAGTGTAGAAGAGTCATACTTTATAATTGGAGCAGTTATATGGCCACATCTGGGGAGTAGGTAAAACTTACGTGTAATAAAGGTGAAGGGATTTGGCCCTAATTCTCACCATGTCCTCAAACCCTTTCTCTTCTCAGGATTCTCCCACAAGATTGTCTCAGAACTTCTTTAATATCTGGCAACATAAAGGTCAAAGAGAGTATTATTATTTTAATCTGACTCTCATCTCTCTGTTTAGGCTACTGGATAGTTAAATAAATACACTAAAACAATCCATGCTTCTCTTTTTTATACTTTTTTGTCATCAATTACAAAGGTGTTACAAAACATTTTTCTGTTGTATTTGAGGATATTACCAGAAAACAATGGAAAGAGTCATTGATTAGGAAGTGGTTTGGATCAGGAACCTGGTGCACATGAAGAAAACGCTATTGCTAGATGCCATTTGTATGTATATATGCATCACTGAAATGGCTGTCCATATAGCAATACACCACTGAAGCGTATTTTTCATTTCTACCTTCCCTCCCACACCTCACTGTCAACTCCTTTTTTAAAACCACATATAATATATGCAAAAAACAGAAGAAAATGACTTAGAGCATGTCTATGTATAATGGGATATTGCACCTGTAGCTGCCCTAGTGCAAAACTCCAGTGCAGATAAGCTACACCACTGCAAAACAGGACTTCCATAATGTGGCAAATGGCAATTTCAAACCATGTGTCTACAAGCCTTGTATTATATTGATCTAGTATATCTAAAATGGGGCTTTGGCACCAGTATAGCTAAATCAGTGTAGTTTTATTCTTACAACTGTTCTAATTATAGACAAACTTTAGATAAACCCAGTGGTGCCCAACCTTTTTGCCCCACAGGCCAGATGGGCAGTGCCTAGTCTAGTTTTGGGATGGGTCTGGCTAGTAGGATAGAATGGTGTATGGGGCAGATATGGTAGGGGCCCAGTATGGCTGTGTGG